CGGAAGGAAGTGGCGGAAGGAAGTGGCGGAAGGAAGTGGCGGAAGGAAGGATGGAAGGAAGGAAGGAAGGAAGGAAGGAAGGAAGGAAGGAAGGAAGGAAGGAAGGAAGGAAGGAAGGAAGGAGCTGCCAGCACCCAGCCCCAGCCCAGGTGCCATTATTACCTACTGATGTCATTGTTGGCCAGGTCGAGTCTCTCCAGCTTCTGCAGCACCGTGATCTCCTCAGGCACTGCCTTGATCTTGTTGTCCCTGAGCTCCAGCACGCACAGGGAGCTCAGCTGTTTCAGGTTCTCTGCATTCAGGATTTCAATCTGATTCTCCCCAGCGTGTAATTCCTACAGGGACAAGGAGCACCACAACTGTGGTAAAATTACTTTATAACTCATCTCCTAAATCATGACATCAGCAGTCACCAGTATGATGATGTGGAGAACATGGACATCTTGATTCCCTTTCATCTGCTTACAAAATACCTGGATAAAACCTGATTGTGTTAAAAGGAAAAACAGGAATTTACTCTATAGTTATGAAGAAAATACAATAATGAACAAAGTGAATTTATCCAGAAAATGTTCCTATAGATTAAAGAAAACAAACCTGTTGCAGGCAATATTAGATCCAGCTTTCAGTCATTCCTCCCCTAAACACTTCTTATTTTCCAAATCTGGAAAGTCCTGCAAACTCATCTTTCAAAAGGCTGAATAATGAGGGCAGTAAGAGAAGCTGCATGTGGGGATGCATTAAACAGAATTCTAAACACGGAGCTGTCATCTGGTTTTGATCACAGCACCTCACAAAAAGTTGTGTTTAAAGTAACTGTCATTAATTCAAGGTTTACAGCAAATGCATTTCCAGCAGAGCAGCCATTCCAAGCTCACCTTCAGTAACCTGCAGGAGGGAAACTCCGGCAAGGAACGCAGTTTGTTTTTCCTCAGGTAAAGCTGCTCCAGGGATGCCATGGTTGCTAATTTGGGAGGTACTGTTTCCAGGTAATTTTTGGTACAATCCAGTTGCCTCAAGCCTGGGGAAACCAATGTCCAGTGATAAATGGAAAGAGAAGATAAAACTACCTTTCTACAGCAGCATAATTATCCTGGGGTTTAATGTAAAATAAACACCATAAATAAACAACATTTTGCCAAACGGATTTTCAAAGTAATAACTCAGATTTTCTTGAGGAAACAGTAACTCTCTAAGGATCTATTTTAAAACCCTGCACTGTATTGCTGAGCACTGGTTGTTTGGCATTTAATAACCCGAGGAAAGTGATTTACTTTTCATGGCACTGAGATCTGCAGGCAGCTCCTTGAGCTGGTTACAGGCCAGGTTGAGCCGCACCAAATTCACCAGCAGAGCAAAACTGGTGGGGATGGCTGTGAGCTGGTTGTTGGACACATCCTGCAGATTGAAACAGAGAGAGAGACGTGAGAGGTGTCCAAAACATCCCAGGAGTGCTGCTAGTGCAAAGTTAATTAGTGGCAGAACAGTAAAATTAGATGGCTGATAACTGGCACAAGTGTGAGAGAAGAAACAACTCCCCCAGGACTGACAGATCACCGTGGATTTCAGCTTTCCCAAAATAAATCAAACCAAGAACAAACTGAAAACAAACCCCACCATGCAATAGCTGACATTAGAACAGTCACTGGAATATTCACCGAGTTCTGCCACTGAACCCGAGGGATTTTTAAGCAGCAGTGGGAAAACACAGATAAACCCTTTCCGAAGAAAGAAACAGGTTTGAAGTTGTGCTTTACCAGCTCCTCCAAGGTGAGGAGCTGCCCCAGCCCCTCGGGCAGCTGGCTCAGCTCGTTGTGCTGCACCAGGAGGCTCCTCAGACGGGGCAGCTGCAGCAGCTCCTCGGGAAGGCTCCTCAGTTTGTTGTGGCTGGGGTGGAAACATGGAACACCAAGGGAAAAGACAAGAATTCAGGAGTTTTTAGGAATGTAACTGCACACAGAACATTCGTGTCCCACAGCCTGCTGGTCAGGACACTGCCACCTCTAAGGAAAACCTGGCTCCTGGAAACAATTCACTGTCTTTATTTGTTCAAGAAGACTTTTAATCCTACTCTGAACTTACAATATTCCAGATGGATCCCAGGATTTTTTTTGTTTTGTACTTCACACACACAGTGGTAGCATAACCTCTCCTTGTGCACAAATTTACAAAATTACCCCAGCAAACAGAAGATTCTGAACCTTCCAGCACAAACAAGAGCTACACAGTTATTTACAATGTGCATTATTCATGACTGGAAATGTTTTATCCTCAGAACTGCCAGACTGAAGCAAATAAATACTTTGTGTATGATTATTCAGAATATCAGTGCTTGCACCTTCCAAGCAATTGTGACTTTGAATATCGGTGAAAACAATTTCAACAAACCCAAGGTCACCAGTTTTGATCCAAAACTGATAATATAACATATACAATATATCATAACACTCTGCAGTGAGTAATTAATTTTTTGAAAGAGAAGTTGATATCCTGCAATCTCTCACTCACACCTGAAAGTCACTGCAGCATTTCTCATGTTTGCTCTGTAACATGGCCTTACCTGACATCGAGTTTCTGGAGATTTTCAAGTTGCCCTAAAGCAGAGGGAAGTGATGTCAATTGATTGTCATGCACCTGTAAAAGAGAGGTTTTTAGAACACAGTTACTAATTTGTACCTAGGGGTTTTTTCAGGCCTCCCCACTGTGAAGAATTCCTCCCCAACATCCCATCTATCCCTCTGGCAGTGGGAAACCATTCCCCCTTGTCCTGGCACTCCAGGCCCCTGTGAAATGAATACACCAGGGAAGTGGAAAACAGAGAGCCAGGAGGTTTCCCCCTGTCCTACATGGAAGTACCATCAGAGCACCAAGGGATCCTCGCACTCACATCCAGCGTGGTGAGGGCAGGCAGCAGCTGCACATCCTCCGAGAGGCTCTGCAGCTTGTTGGAGGCCAGGATCAGCTTGGTCAGGTCCGTCTGCTCCCACCAGCGATCGGCAGCTCCAAAGGACAGGTTCTGCTGGGCTTCCTCTGGTGTGTCCAGGTTGATCCTCCACACGTGCTCGGGCACTGCAGCACAAACACAGCCATCAGCTGAACGTTGCGGGTGTTTGATCCAGGATTTCACTGCCAGCGTGTGCTTTGTGAATAAAATCATAGAGTGGTTGGGGCTGGAAGGGACCTTAGTGATCATCTAGTTCCGACCCTTCTGCCTTGGGGGATGACATACATAGAGATATATAAATATATATATGGATATACACAGGCATAGGCATATGTGCGTTTATCTATAAAAACATACATATATACATAGATACACACACACATATATATATATATATATATACACATGCACACATATATATAATACACACATGCCTATAGTCACTCTACAGTCCATTTTGTTCTAGAGACGTTTTTACATTTATAATATATATATAAAATAGATATTTCTAATATATCACAAATATTTCTAATATAGACACTGTGTTCTAGAGACATTTTTGCAGAGGTAACAACGACAAGGCGATGGAAACATGCCAGAAACAGACAAGAGTGAGCCGATGGCGAGCAGATGGCGCTCCCCGGGAGCCGCTCCCGCCCCGCCCGGGT